AAATAGAAGTTTTAATGCTTAACTTGCGCTTATAATGTGAGGCCTACAGATTAGGCCATGTTCAAGTGCTGAAGCAAAATCCCAAAGCGAAGAGCGGAAACCGCCTTACCCTGCTAATGCTTCATACAATAAGTTTATTAGATCCACTTCTTACCAGCCATTTATTAGAGGACCTGGAATATGCGCGCGTGTCGGTACAACTTTACATTTGGTGAAAAATGAGTGTGCATAAAAACCGCATAACATACTCTTTTGTTAGAGAAAAGAAAGCATTTCCAACATCACTATGAATTTCAAATGTTATACTACCATTCAGCAATTTGAAGCTAAGAGAAAACATTCGGGTTTGAGCTCACAAACACGGCTTCAGCGTGCCACTGCGGCCTATATTAACTTCACATGCTTCAATATTGGCTTGTTTAAATAAGCTCAAAAAGACAAAACCAGTCATATTATACTAACATGACTCATCAGTCATATTATACTAACATTATAAATCGAAAAAATATGCAAGTGTGCCACTCATATGCTAATATTGTTTTTTTTGTGCCTTTCATATTGTATAATTCGCTAGTTACAGATTTCAACTTCTTCATCTAAAGTGAACGCAGTAAACGGAAATGGAATCTCACCATCACCGGACGTGCAGCGACTTCAATTGCCAAAGAAGATTTGCACGATAAATGACGACGTTACATGTATTTCTGAACCAGGTAAGAACTATTTCCATAAATAATAAGTTAAAGTAGATTTATCGCATTTGAGGCGATACAACTGGCCTTGTGGACATTTCAAATGGCTCGGATGAGGAATCATCGGCTCCAGATATTGAATATACGCCTGACCCACCACCTGCGTCAAAATTTCAGGGTTTACAGAAAATGAGCACGTGTGCCTCCCTTGACAGCATGATTCGGAACGTAGATTGTAAGTTTTTCTATACTTTGAAAAGTGTGCTTAAGTACATTTTTAGTCATCTCACCACGCACAATGCAACGGAATATGGCCGAGCTGGAGTTTGATTGGTTGGCTGCTGTGATAGAGAGGATATTCTTGATAGCATTTCTAATTATATTTATGTTAACCGCAGTTGGTATCAACTGCATTGGTATGTACTATTGGTTTGCTGCACGGCAGCACATTCATTGAGCTTATGTAGCTGCAATAAATTTTGTTTGCACTTGAGAAACAGGCTTTTATTATCTCTCCAGCTTTGGACATTGTTTGATTCAAACT